TAAGAGAAGACTGGGTGGCAGGGTACCGGGTGAAGTGGGGCCAGGTGGGGCCAGGTCAGGCAGATGTGCCCTGACAGAACCTGGGTTTTACTTTTGCAGTGAATCCTCTCCTGGGTGGGATGATGGTGTGTGAGTGTGGATTGAACATCGTGGCATGTCCGTGGTTGGGGAGGGTCGATATGTGTCATATCCATCCACCGCCACCGACTTCCACCACTTCCGATCCCTCCGGACTACCTCTGCTCCTTCTCCACTAACCTCGGAGCCCCCGTATTCTGCAATCACCTCCACATCCCTTGATGGTCACCACCCCCTCTTTTCAATATATTACCTATGCCTCCCTAAGTACAGAGCCCCGAAGGTTTCTGGACAGCTCCGACGTCTGCTAGCGCACTCCCACCTCCGCTGGGCAATACACTCGCTTGCCCTGCAAGCCCACCTTCGGGCCTATCCCTCCTTTCCGTTTCTGGGTTATCGCCTACCATTCCGCTAACCCCATAACCCGACTTGTTGGTAATATTCAATTGGTTAAAGTTTAACTCCATTAGCTCCGCTCTGCTCGGCCCTGCCATTTATGGGCCCGCCCTCGTTGTAACCATATATACTCAACTTGTACATAGGTTACACCTCAGTAATAAAATCGACTAGAGTTTACCCCCTTTAGTTCTGGTTGCCAGTTAGTAAGTTAGGGCATGGACATGTTACTTGGCACAGCGCTCCTGGCATAAGTCACTGAGGCTGAAGCCCTCCGCCATGGAGACATTCCTTCATCTTGATCTGGTCTCTGACAATATGGGGGGTTGGTCGAGCTACAAGCAAGACCTATCGATATTGCCGCAATGGATAGTCCTTTTATATGTTCAGTTATGTCTGATATTGGGGTATTTTCTTGTCGTAATTTCGTAATGTTGCTTACCCCTAAGACATCCAAATAATCGCTAAGTGCTGCCTTTCCACGCAACATACTCCATGGTTCCCAGCTTGTAGAGCTATCCGACCACTGCATGAAGAACTTCACATTCTTGCCTTGGCCATCGTGCTTCATGATGCGCCACATCAGTGTGTCGTCTGGCATTCCAAGTCCAACATAGTCGTCGACTTTTCGGCTAGGGAATAGGATATCGTCGTTAGGGATATGTGGGCGTAGAAATTTCAAGTGGAACACTGAGTGAATACCTCATTTCTTGAGTTCCTCTGGCAACTCCAACTCAAAACTCGTGTTCGGTGAAGCCTCTCTTGCTATCCACAAAGGTCTGATAAACTTAGGGGACAACTTTCTTGACTTGTTTCTACCTAGATTCAGATTTTCCGACTAAGTCTCCAACTTTAAACGGAACTTGTCTTCGATGTTTATTAGCTAATCATGTCTGATTTGTTCTTGAATTGATTAGCGCATCATGCACATCAAGTGTAATTGATGTCATTTTCCGGGCCAGTGCCTGTATCCCGCAGTAAGGCGATTCTTGCGAAACGAATATTGGGTTCGGTTGTTGTGACCTGTTTAATTCAAATGGTGAGTAGCCGGTACCATCAGAAGTCGACATGTTGATTGCCAATTCAATTATCGGCAGTTTAGATGCCCAGTCTCTTTGGTTCTGAGATACTGCTTGGCGAAGCATCTGGCTGATGGTATGGTGTGCACGCTCGGTAGCGCCGTCTGTTTCGGGGTGGTAAGCGCTGGAAAGACGGAGTTCTACGCCAATCAGCTTGTGTAGTTCATTCCAAAACGTCGAAGTGAATAGGCTATCACGGTTGCTTACTATCCATAGTGGTAGTCCATGTAATCTATAAACGGACTCGAAGAAAACCTCTGCCATATTGCATGCTGTATATGTCTGTAGTGTCGGTACCAGGTGGACCATGCCGCTAAAATGGTCGATTATCATACAAATCATGTCAAACGCGCCATGTTGTGTCTTTGAAAGGGGCATCGGTCCCATGAAGTCTATGCCGATCAATTCCCATGGATGAGAAGCTATTGGTAGCGTCTTGAGTAGTCCGAATGGCACTGTTGTCCATGAGGCGCAAAACTTACGAGTATTGCGAAGCAGGTTCTTCCACCATACATGGTGTCGAAGGTACATTTGAGTCTTCTCTGCCCCTAAGTGTGCTAGGACGGAGTGTGCATGAGATATGATTATCTTGTGTAAAGATCGTGGTCTGATTGATGCATCTGGTATGCAAAGTACAGTGAACTGTCCGTTTCTCATGAACACCTTGTTGTTGTCGTTCTTCCCAACGGAAAAGTTTGGGAAATGAGAGGGATTCTCCAAGACCTTCACAAAGAACATGTCATGACTGTACTCATCTGCGATCAATTCCAGTAGCTTGAGGTCCGGTTCATTCTGGGAGACTAAAGATATGAGGCTGGGCGGCATCTCAGTGTTCTCGGTTTCTAACTCTGAGTGGATCTGATTAGACACTTGGTCTGTTGACTGCGGTAACTTGCTGTCATTGGTTTTTTGCATGTGAGCCGGTACCTTAATCTTAATCTTTATTCTTTCCAGTGATTCTTCCTCCGGAGTCTCTCTCGTGGCAGGAGATGGTTCATTCACATCTGAGGTTACTGGTTTCTTGGGGGGATAGATGCATAGTCTGTGTGGTTGCACAACAGCGATCCCAGTGACCACTGGGGCTGTGTAGGATGTATCCCTTGGGGCTCCATTCTCACTATCATTTTCTGATAAAGTGTCAGGGTCCGTCCCTCGTCCCGAGGGGGCATAGCAATGAGGTCCGGGAGTGGCACTGGAGAGTCTTCTCCAGCCACTAATTCCTCAAAGTCGCTGAGGGGACTTGCTCTGGGCTTCACAGGGAATGAGTTGAGAAGAAGGGTAACCTTCTCAACCCCCTGTGAGGCCGCTACAAAAGGAGCCTGGGGACTGTGCAGTTGTCCTGAGTTTCCATGTTGGGTACCGTGGGAAGATTCTGGGCGAGCTGCTTGCCCAGAACGTTCCCATGGGTTCGTGTACCTGTACCATTGCGGAGCAGTGGGGGAAAAATGGGGGAAAATGGGGGAGGGGTGGTTAAGAGGGGGAAAGGGTGTCTGAGGGTGTGTGGGGTCGAGGGCTGTGCCCTGACATAAAGTTTCCGATACGAACTCTGAAGCAGTGCGGACTGTGCCCACAGTTTCATCGCTGTACATACGAGACAATGAATCAGGGAATCCGTTCTCTTTCCCTGGCAAGTAATTAATCATAAAATCGAAATCACTTAGTGCATCCAGCTAACGTGCCTGGTGTTGAGATAAATTCTGTTGGGACTTAAGGAATTCCAGCGGTTTATGATCAGTAAACAATCTAAATCTACAACCAAGCAATTGGTCTCGGAATCGTTTCAATGATTCGATTATCGCCAACAATTCTCGCTCATGGATGGGGTATTCTGTTGTGTAGGAGTAAATTTCCCGGACCAGAAACAAGCGATTTGGGCTGTCTCCAGGTCCTCAAAACACCACCTGCTCCTGTCAGCGAAGCGTCTGTAATCAAATTAATCGCGGGAGCCTCTTTCGAATAATCAAGTGGCTTTCTATGATGGTTGCGGTGATCTTGAACAATTTCCTTAATTTGTTTGAATGTGTGTTGGTGCATTTCATTCCATTTCCAGACCTTCTTGGCATTGGTCAGTGGTGTTAATACACCCATAGGGATGTGGATCCCTTTACAATTGGGGGCTAGTGTCAGGGTACCGAGCTGCTCGGACTCTAAGTCGAGGGATCCCGAGCCTTCGCTGGAGCTGAGGCCGAGGGGGACAGGATCAGTCTCAATGGGGGAACCCGGCAAAGCGGATTGCGATAGGGATTCCAGCTGAGCAGCGAGGGGAAGTGAGAGAAGAAAGTTATCTTCCTCACTCGCTACCCAGGGAATGATAAAGTCAGTATACCTGGCGAAGCAGGGCCGCTCTGCAGAAGGAAATATAACAAATGTCTGTGCCAGTCCGGGGATGATGATCAGGCTGTGCGGGTATGGGGCAGGTGTGTCATCAGTTGTGTGTAAGCAGTCTGGACTTAACCGGGCTGTACTCTGACAGCTAGGTAGCCTACAGCTCCCAAGATTCCATGCAACAAAGATGCGTTCGTGGGAACTTTCCAATTCCTGATACTCTCAACTTTGTTGGGGTCCATTCTGATTCCTTTCCGGTCGATCACATGGCCCAATATCTTCAGTTCGTCAGCGAAGAATTGCAGTTTATCCGGTGTGGACAAATAGAATTTCTGCTTTTCCAACAATCGGAATACCATGCGGCAGTGCCCGATGTGTTCGTCTATTGAATTTGAATTATTATGTCATCTAAGTACGGGTCTACCCATTTTCCAATATATGGGCCGAACATATGACACATAGTCATTTGCCCAGCCAGCATTGCCCCATTTGGAGGGAATGCATGTGGTCGTGTGATAATTCAATATGGGGTAATAGATGTGGTCAAACGGAGTTGGCACTGCCACCACCAAACGGACCAGCCCTCATGCAGGCCTTGCACAGATGCGCCGTTTGGGTTACTAGGGGATGCTGCTTGGGGGAGGTGACCCATGCCGACATACATGAGTTAGAACCAGGGGCTTGTTGTATGCACACTGATTATTTATATTGGAACCCTGACGTACATCAAATACAACGTGCGGCTCTGATTAAGGCATGCGCAATGTCCCGGAGCACCACCTAGTCCCTGTACCATCTGCCAGACACCGCGAAGAAATCAAAGGGGAAAATGAAGGGAGAATGGGCTTGTGGTTGGTCCTGTAGGTGCAGCCATGCCACAGAGGAGACGGGGGCCAGGATAGTGGAGGATTCATTTGAATAACATGTCAGCTCCATTATACAAAACTGCAGTGCAGATGGTGGGTTGAACGGCACAGGAATGCACAAAACGGTGTAGATACAAACCTCTCCCCTAAAGTTTGTTTAATAAATCAAATCTGATGGTTCGGATGCAAATTTTGAAGGAAATTTTCCGTTTCCACCTAAACAGTGAACGGCCCTAGAACAAGATACCAGCTCAGAATGCCCCCTCCCTTGCCAGATGCGTCTGGCGACACGTCAAACGCATCAATTCTCACGTTACAGGCCAGTTTTTCCAACAGCCTGACTTTGTTGACAACAGCGCCCTCCGTGAATGACTTTCTGAAGGCTACAGATGGCCCTTTCGCCCGTCTGAGGAGCCTGGTTGGACAACACACTTCCACGAAAGATATGCCACAGTTCCAACCCCTTGCCCCCCTTGAGGACGTTGTAAAGAACATTGTGCAAGAGCTATGGGGGTACACCTCTGTCAAGGCAGTCAGAGGGGGAATATACTTGATGAAGCATCCGTGATAGACGACCTCAGCTTTGAAGGTGCATTATTTTCCTCACTGCTCAAACTGTTCAGAAGCTCTCAACACTGTGCAGTTTTCATGGAGACGTGTATGGCCGCGTATGCCCAGAAAAGGGGGAAGTCCCCCCAAGAAGTAATGAAGAAGTTCCACTCTCATAATGCGACTGATACAGGCCAAACCGCTTGGCAGACATGGCTTAAGCTTCACCGTAGGTTAACAATATGCTCACAGCTCATCTTAGAGACTAATCATTTCTCAGCGGGACTTGATAGCCAAGATGCAGCAAGCCTCCGCAAGTCAGAGCATCTGGAAATCGAGGAGAAGTATCCAGACAGGGCGGACGAAGCAAAAGCCTTTTATGACAAAGTTCTCATGCATTACGGAGACATTATTTTGTCTAAGAGAGAGACCCAACCTAATGAAAGCGTCATATCCATCCCTGGCCATCGACTTCCGATCCCTCCGACTCCTCCGCTCTACCTCCACTCCTTCTTCACTAACCTTGGAGCTCCCGCATTCTGCAATCCCCTCGGTACCCCTCGATGGTCACCACCCCCTCCTTTCAATTTATTACCTATGCCACGGAGCCCCGAAGGCTTCCGGACAGCTCCAACGTCCGCTAGCGCACTCCCACCTCTGCTGGGCAATACACTCGCTTGCCCTGCAGAGCCCACCTTCAGGCCTATCCCTCTCCGTTTCTGGGTTATTGCCTGCCTTTCTGTTAACCCTGTAACCTGACTTGTCGGTAATATTCAATCGGCTAATGTTTAACCCTGTTAGCTCCACTCCACTCAGCTCCGCCATTTGCGGACCCGCCCTCGCTGTAACTATATATACTCAACTTGTACATAGGTTACACTTCAGTAATAAAATCGACTAGAGTTTATCCCCCTTCGGTTCTGGTTGCCAGCTTTGTAAGTTAGGGCACGGACGTGTTACTTGGCACAGTGCTCCTGGCACAAGTCGCTGAGGCCGAAGCCCTCTGCCATGGAGACACTCCTTCATCTCAACCTGGTCTCTGACAGAAAGTCTCCACCTGCTTCAGAAAATGACAGGAAAATATGCAGCACAGGTGAAGTAGATTGAGTGGAGCAGTTATAGAAATCAATCTAACTACATGTTGTCATGATAGGTCTGCACACTTAGTTCCACCCATCCCATTGGCGTCACTGTAGTGGGATTTGTAGCGGATGAGACCATCCCCCCGGAACAGTCCACAGCAGCTTTCACCAGCTCACCGATTATGGCAGAAATGGTGAAGGCTATGGGTCTGCCACTCACCGAGGATGCAGCCCTTGCCATAAGAAATCTGTATGACGGCATAAAGGCTTTCAGGTATGCAGCGCAAGCACAGGAAAGTGCAGATAGCTTACTCGTAATTCTTTTAGCCCATACCAACCCGATATCAGCAAACAGAGGTATGAGCACCTCGTCCTCATGGTCCCCATCAGCTGAAATTACTGCAGAAGCTTCCTTCGTCATCTTCATGCCTTCACGAACCCGGACAAGTCCAACAATGAGGAGTTTGGTGCATCAGGCCTGATGAAGTCTGTTGTAGCAACTGCCAGGAAAAGTGTCCATTTCCATGATAGCCTGGACAAATACCTGACAGTGAAGATGGAGGCCATGGACGAAAACAACATCGATTATCATACACCGATATTGAAAAGGAAAGACGGCCTTGCCATGGCAGACAAGTCATATGGCCCACATAGCTGACGCCACACTGAGGCTGCTGTGCAGCCTAAAACAATGATATGTACGTCCTACTTTGACAGAGCACTTCACATTGCCTATCTGATATCTGGTGTCAGAGGAGGCAACATGTGTAAGCGAGCTCAGGACCGACTGGAGGGTTGCAAACATACTTCCATTCTTACTTGAGCATCATCTCCATTTTGCTGGCTGGCATCGTGGCATCCGACATTTGAACGAGTCGCTCCCTTGTGATTGGACCCCATGTGAGTCTGCTCAGGGTATGATGCAGCTCTACCACTCCGACCCTGAACAGAAATTGAGAATCGAGACAATGACAGAAGGTAAGGGAATGTCAGTGAAGTTCCAAAGGGCACAGCTGATGGGTTACGACTCACCAGAGGAGTATGAGAAGCGTGAGGTGCTCCATTACGCACCTGATGCAAATGGGAGTGTTGGCAAATACATGCTACCCGAAAATGAGGTGAGGAGGGCAGTTGCCAAAGCTGCGCTCACCATGGCACGACCTAGGAAACGCAAGGCAGACTTACCAGACTCACCGGAAGGGAATACAGTCAGAGACAGTAAGATAGAGTCTCCATCTCCCAAGCGAGTTAGGAAGAAGTCCAAAGCCACCCACATGCGTGCTCCAGCAAAGGCCAAGCCTCCTCGCATGGTTCCTGGGAACAACAGTCAGGTGAATGAAGCTAGACTGCCACAGAATAAGGCGGTATGACCACAGGGTGATGACGTGGTATCGGGGACACCGGATAATGACTCACCTGTATCCAGTGGGTCATTGTCACCGATACTCCCTTCAAGGATAGAGCCGCTCGACTTGTTGAAGCCGAAGGCCACTCACACGCATGCTTTAGCAAAGGCCAAGCCCCCTCGCATGAGGCCCGGGAACAGCAGTCAGGTGGACAGAGCCAGACTGCCACAGAATGAGGTGACAGGAGCACAGGAGGATGAGGTGGTACCAGAGACAGTGTCACCGAGTAACAGCTCACCTTTATCAAGCAGGTCCTTATCACCAATACTCCCTTCAAAAATAGAGCCGCTCAACCTGCCCATGTTCTCACTGGAAGTACGCTCCAGATCCCAACCAGAACGCAAGCCGCAACTCACTGACATCCCGCAAAATGATGTCTTCACAGAATGAACTAGCAAAACGGTTCCAGAATCGCATACCTCAATGGTTATCCCTCCTATTGGGTTGATTCATCCAACCCCCAACAGCACTCCAGCTAGAGGGCAATCGATGTCAGGATCAAATAATAATGGGATTACGTATCTCACTGTGAACGAAGGGCCAACACCCTGGGCACGCTCGGAGACACCATCTTCCACAACAAGCACGGGTGGTGAGCCTGCCACCTTTGACACCTTGTTCAAATGTGCATGACACTCGGTGTGGCGAGCTGCACTGAAAATTCTGCCAGCGGTTCATTCGGAGGCGCTATTGAAAGGAAATGTCAAATGCTTGGTGGAGATCGACATCATTAAACTGCCCATCGACAAGAAGGTACCACCTCCTGAAACCTTGGACACAGCTCAGCACTGGGAAATCGTTAGGGATGTTGGAGATGAGCTTCGTGGTAAAGGTGCCGATGTAGGAAGACTTGCCAGGGCCATGGCAAAATTGCTTGATACCGACGAAGTTAGTGACAAGAAAGATGAGGTTTTGAACATGTGGATCCAGATGTTGCCTGGTTGAAGGATAGCCCAACATTACGCTAATCGCTAAAAGCGCGAATAGATATTATTTACAATGGAGGTATCGCACAGGTCATTATTTAACTCATAGCCACGCAACTTGTAAGCTTGACAAATGTAAGATGGATACTGTAAATGTGAACACAAATACAGAGCGGTCCGAGTTACAGAGAGGGCGATACACCAGCCCAAGAGTCGCAATATGAGTTACCACATGCTGACGTCTGTATAAGTCCGTTTCACACTGCAGTAAATAAGAACATATGCTTTGCATAGTGAGAATCAAGAACAGGGTGCAGGTGCTACAAATGGTAGACCATGTATGAAACATATGAACGGCGGCCACAACCCCCTCCTGCATAATGTTACATGTCTCTCCAACTACAACCCCTGTAGTTCCTCCACAGTCAGCTTGTTTAGGGGAGCAGGTGGATTCTCCACCACTTTGAGTGTAAAGAGGCCAGTTTTTGGCTGCCAACGAATGGACTCAAACTCCTCTTGAGATGGGTTCCCTGACCTCTTCAGCATCTCGTTTGTTCGTAGTTCGATGCCCTCAAAAAGTTGCCTTGCAGAACCGGCAATGAAACGAACGACACCAGGATAGATAGAACCCTCTGAGGGGTAGATTTGTTGATGGAATGTGCGTTTGAAGCGGCGAAGGTGACAAAGGATAAGGCAGAAACGAAGGAGAGCAAAACGTTCCTCTTCGCTCAACTCAAAGGGCCCGCACAGGCACATCTTTTCGAGCACATCTTGTTTGAAGGTCACCTCAACCACTTTGAACGGTAAACATCCTTGGCTGGACATTGTTGTCATGATCCGGAAGCGATTGTATTCAAAGAGGTCTTGGGAGTACATCCGGGTCCACAGCTCCGTTGTCTCAGTTGGCAAGGTGTCTGGGCCTTGAGGGATTAGCGGGGCAGGTGCATGGTCCAAGAGAGTCTGGATCATGGTTTGGTTGAGCCCGCAAGAAAAGACCTCACCAACAAATCCAAGCTCATATACCCCAATGTATCCGCTGGGTGTATAGTCATGCATGGCAATATTTCTGATAGTCGCACCTGGGAATCTTGCTTGGAGGTATCGCCTGAGACTGTGAGCACTGTCTTGTGTCTTGCAGAGTAGGTTGAGACAGTGTGTCGACCCATCCCAGCCGTCCACTTTCTGATTCACTGTTGGGGCATGGACTTCACGATAGGCAAGAACCCCCCACTGCTTCACTGCATCCAGATCACCACGTAGCTCCAGTACCGGGCCTGACAGGTGTATGGATATACCTAGCTGAGTGTCGGTGGTGGCAGGGCCAGTGGCAGATGACAAGGGAACACTGATAACAGGCACCATTTGGATGGATGATGGAAGGGGGTGTTGAGGGTGGTAGTACGAGAAAGGGATTTTGACAAATGCTGCCATGAGTGGAGCGTGTGCGCCAATGGGGAATGGGATTCTCATGTTCTTCCATTTCCTGCCTTCCAAGGCTGTACTACGATGCAGACCCTCTTCATATTTCAACCCAAGCCAGACTCCCTGAAGGATGTTCTTCATCATGCTGGAGAAGCATTCGAAGGAAGTAGGATCTCCGTTGGGGGCAAGCGCTTGGAGGCATTGCTCCATGACAAAGTGCTGGGCAGAGTGATTGTCATTCGGGGCCACAAACAAGAATTGCTGTGGGTGGGTATGTGTAGCGGTTGCCATAACAACAAAGTCAAATCCTACAACAATGTCCCCCTTCACAGCACCTTTTGGATCCTTGGACTCAGCGCAGTTCCATATCTCCCATTGAAGAGCAAGCTCCGCCACCTGGTCAAGTAAAGGTGGACATGACCGAGACACTGCAAAGCATTTCTCGCCATACTCCACCCTCCAATGGGGAACCCCCCACCTTTCCAGAGTGAGGGCGAAGGCCAAGGCAGAGGCACTAAGGGTGGGGTCATGGACCTCAGCGTGAATGCCCTCTGAGGCGTCAAAGATGGTCCCAAGGACTAACTCTTGAACTGGCCATGTCGGAAGTTCCACACCACCCAATATGGCACATGCATCAAGAGAAACGAGGTAGCAATAGCGAAGATGCCCTCATAGCTCTCCAATCCAGCGTTCAATATCGATAACGGTGTCATGATGGTAGTTTTCAGATTCCGCAATCATCCGGGAGTGGAACAGCTTGTCAAGGTAGACTTCTGACTCACGCTTGAGTATAGCCATAATTTCATGGTGAGAGGGAAGGATTTCTGCATGGCAGAGATGGGAGACTACGTCTTGAACGTGGCGAAGAAGTTGCTTTACCGTGGACTGCGTGCCAATGATCTTCTCCCTCCACTCAGATGTTGGAAGCCACTTCAGACCATCGGGAGAACGAAGTAGATCGATGTTAAGGATTGGCAGCGGAATGTACTGGAAGGGGCGATGATGCTCAATGAGCGCAAGGTGTGGGCGGAGTGGATCATAGCTAACCGGTCGCTGGGAAGTGTCCATGAACTCGCAGTGTTTTGGAGAGACGTTCAAGAGACTTGTCTTTGCCGAAGGTGCGGCACGCACCCAGGAGGCGTATGATCCATTGTAGGGGCAGAAGTATTTGTCCCCACAATGCGGATCGGTGTCTGACGATAAGCTCGGTTGACAGTGCCTTCTAAGATATCGTCTCCAGATTAGACGGAAACGACCCCACAGAGGAAAAGAGCAGACAGCTTACCAGATAATTCCGTTCTCCACTTCTTTACATGGTCTCCAGCTTCAGGAGTAGGGGAGAGTGGCCAAACGGGTAAAGGAGGTGCACCTGTGGATATCACCATGCAGTGTGAGAATAACAGACAAAACACTCCTGTATACACCTTGCATACCTCGAATGATCATGGCATTGCTGAGAAGAGATATTGTCCCTCCATCCTGCACCACGATTTGCTCGACTGAAGTGAAGTGTGTGATATCCGGCAGTGCTGCCCCCCGGCCTCGATGGTGGCTCATAGGAGGATGGCAGAGGAAGTGGGGGAGGCAAGGATTCTCGTTGGGGGTGGGAGATTGGGGCCAAGGTATGGGAGGATGGGGTTCAGGCTTCACCAAACTGAATGACTCCCATGGGAGGATGTGAAGGAAAGCGATGACGCTCTGGTGCAGTTGTACGGTGATCCGGTCCATAGGGCCACCGGTCTAGGTGGTCTATGGAACAAAAGGAATAAGATGCCCCTCGTTCTGTTGAACGAGGGCGTTGGAGAGGTAAAGGGCTTTGGCGACACCACGACCTTGCCTGGTGTTTGTCATATCCATGCATACCCGATCCCGACCCGACTCCTGGACCTCCTCCTTCACCACCTCCGGAGTCCTACCCTACTGCTGTCCGTTCCGATATTCACTTTCGGTCCTGGCACCACACCTCCTCTCACCTCCCATGCCACCTCCACTCCTCCATCCCTCTCCTGTCCTATCTCCATCCGCTCCGATACCCACCTCGGACTGAACACCACCCCTCTCGCCACCCTCCTACTACTCCTCCTCCCACTCCTCCACTTCCTTCCCATAACACCTCCACCCTTCCATCATCCTCCTACTCTTCTCCCATCTGCTCCAATACTCACCTTCAGACCTGACTCCTCTCCTCTCCTCCACACCTTCCCTCCTTCCTCCTTCCTCTCTCTTCCCTCTGGCCCTCTTCCGTCGACCCCCTGCCAAGTTACGACCTTCCGCTGCTGTCCCGTACTTCGTACTCGGACACCGCTCATACCTTTGCTCCGAGCCTCCATCATAGTTCCTACCTCGGACTTTGACTCCACCTCAGTCTTAGTCCATTGCATTGGTGACCTCATACTACATAAACACCATTGCCAATATTCCTCGGACTTTCAACCCTGCCTCCATAACCTCCGTAAGCTCTGCAACCCCTGAGCTCCACGGATCATCTTTGGCACTTTCGCCACTTGTAATGTATCTCTCGTGTTTTCCCCTCATCCCTATTTGGACTGCTGCTTCTTCCCATTCTAGCCAGTGGGTCATCATCCCCACTTCCCCTCATCCTCCTGCCCCTCTGGGCCTCGCCCTCCTTACCTCCTTTCGGACGTACCACAGGTTCTGCCTTATGACCTTCGGTACCGCTCCGCTTCTGTCATCCCTTTGTTCCTGTTTGGACGCCTTCATTCCGATTCGGATCCCCTTTGTTTCCTCGTGCTTTCACCCTCGCCATTATATATATTGGCGCTTGTACATACTTGTTTTAGGCTTAGTCTAAAATCGACCTGAAATGCCCCCTAGAGACTTCCTGCTCACCTACTGTGAAATTAAGGACCAAATGGACAAACAGCAATGGCACAGCGCTCCGCTTGAGTCGCTGAGGCCAAGGTCCCTCCTTGCTAAGTCTCCAGTCCCCCTCCGGAATCGTCTGCCCTCACCCAGTTCTAACAGTGTTTGGAAGTCTCTGGACACAGTGAATGCCCCCTCCCACTGCACCAAGAGTGGAAGGGGGAGGTGTGCAGCAACGGCGACTCATGGGGGTTTCGCATTTCTGAGGCTGATGTGGAAGAATCTTCCGCTTCCTCCACGTCCCAATCATTTTCACTATAGAACTCTTCTGGATCGGATGAGATGCCATCATCATCTTCCAGGCATCGAAATGGATGGCCATTGAATTGCAGCAGGATATACCCATCTTGGATGAAAGTGCATCGACAAAAGAACCAAACTGCCCCAGGAGGGTACATGGGTCCGGCAGGCTCGAAACGGTCGTGATAACGGAAATCAGCGAATGCAGAGGCAAGCTCATGCAATACAACTACACCTATTGATCCTGACATCCCATGTGAGATATTCTCTGCAAGGTGCTGCTTCCAGTGCTGCACACAGACACATTCAGCGATGGCCTGATTGGTGTCCATTGTTGCCCTCTTCATAGCTTTTGACCATTTCGACAGGTCTAGTCGCCTGATGAAGACTTCACCCAAGGTCTTTCCTACAGTCCAGCCTTCTTTTCCACTGGGATATGGGAAAGGGATGGGCTCAGGTGACGGCATTGGCAGAGGCATGGGGTGAACAAAACACCGCAAATACCGCTGCGCCCCATTGGGAAATTGGTCATACTCTGGCAGGAAAAGTTCGGGCTCAGCTTGTATACATGAATTAATGGCTTCTTGAAGCAGTGCTTGACTAGGGTGGGTGAGGGACTCAGAAGGAAGGATGAATATTTCGAACACAGCATGGTAATAATGAACTGAGTATAGTAACGATAGCTTGCTCCATTCAAATGTCCCATGCAGCGAGTGATCGACAACAGGACTAACCACTTCCTCCACCCATGCAATCTGCACCTGTCCCGAAAGGAGGTGCAAGGGGCGTTGCGGCCCATCCCAGGCAAGTGATTCAAGTGCGCAAATATAGAACACGCCATCAGGATTTAATCTCCATCCTTGGCGAAGGCGATTGGCATTTGGGACAGGAATAGGCAAGGTTCTGACATCCCCAAAGCTCATGCTTGCAAATCTGTATGCTACTGACTTTGTGATTGGGGAGCAGTAATGACAATGGAATAGAAGTTAACACTGGGGTCTACGAGCTCCATGAGGAGGATTGGGGAGGGCGATAGGACATCTGCAGGTGGTCAGACCAATACATGCTACCTGAGCAGTGAGGGAAGTTTAGGATCGGAACAACGAGGCTCACAGTGTCGATGGCCTGGCGGGGCCCAACAGGTTTACCAATACCTGAGGCACAGAATGAAGCAGACGACGGGGGGAAGATAAACGGAGCAGAGAGAAACGGCGAGACCTGCTGCACCCTGGTACTGCTGCCTGTGGGAACTCCACACGACCTGAGTCCTTGGATTGATAACGGGTTCACTGGTGTCCGAGGCACAGAACGAAGCAGAGAAAAAGGAAGAGAAACGGAGCAGAGAAATGGCGAGACCTGTCACACCCTGGTATTGCAGCGTGTAAGAACTCCGCAAGACCTGGGTGTTTAGATCTGCGATCGATTGATATCTCTGGAGTGGCAGGGGGACACTAGGGCCCTCCGCTTTCCAGAAACGTCACAGTCCTGAACGGAGCAGTACTGGGATGGTGGCAGGTTCTGATGTTGCTATTTCGACACAGATTTAAATGAGTGTTGTAGAATGGGATAATGAGAATTGACACTCACTGGAGTTTACCCCCGTTCTGCTAATGGCTGAGAAGCCCATGTGTAGCGCATTGTGTGGTGGTGCCACCCACAAACAAAAGCAAAGTTTTATCAGTTCAATCGTTCGGACAACACGAACGAAAGGTGAACAGCACTTACATTGAAACAAATGTAGGCTACCTCAACGCTGCTGGAGTGAGGAAGGATACCCACCATTCACGTTGTAATTGTGTGGCCGTCGTTCAACGATGAGAGTGTTGGAGATCCAACACCACAAGTGCCACAGGGTAGAAATTATTAGCTACATTCAGCGGTAAAATTCAGTGACACCAGAGTATGCTGACCTTTGATCGTGAGGCAAATGGGTTCGCTATCATGGTGATGCTGCTCGAACGGAGAACACGGAGGTGTTGTATAATGTATTGGCTTGTCACACTTCCACTTAATCCTTACATGACCTGTCATGAATAATCCCCAGGTGCTACCAGCCCCTTCTGGTGGGTCGCTGGCAACTGAAACAATGTATCACAGGGCACCAATACTGTCTCTGCCAATTTCGAGGAGAAATGTGGTCATGGACATCCTCGATTGTACTCAACAGCAGATGAGCACTGGGTGGCTAATACACTTCAACAGCGCAATCATCGGGCAAAACTCAGAGAGTACGAGATCAATATGGATTATATTGGATAGTATACGTTGGCCAACATGGCACCGAATAAAGAGAGATGGGACCCACACCCGGTTCCCTACCTGCTGCACCCTCAGAGCCAGCATCCGCTCCCCGTTCAATGACCTCTCAGGCACTCAGGGGGCAAGACGCCATGACAACTAGACTACAGGTAAGGTGAGGTACTAAGAAATTTTAAAAACAGGGAGATCGGTGCAGTGCCACTGCTCATGCCCCCAGGTGTCAGGCATCCAAGAGTGTTACAGACACCTGATGAAGACGATCCACTCTCAGCCCTCGAGCATTTGCCTGCCATCAGAGAGGCTTCAGAGTGTTCATATTGTGAGGTCGACTTAACCGACTATCTAAGGCTTGCGGCAAGATGCAAGGAGTTGGAGGATGAAGTTCAGAGGCTCAGAGCGGAAATATCAATGGATTCGCACAAAGAATAACCTTAGTTACTTTCATGAGTGGGCCAATCTTGTACATATTGGGACGTCACTAATCAGAACCGTCAAGTGTGCATGCAGAAAAGTAAATTATGCGGACATATTCCATGGGCTGTTACATGCAGAAGTTGACTACCGACTCATTCCATGCACTGCTGGAGGAGGGGGGAAGGAAAGGCACATGGTGGACATCGTAAATGCTGAGGTCCAAATTTAGGCTCCCGATCACGGGTAGGCGGCATGCAGTATCTACCTCACGTTGCAACTGCCGGAAGTACTTTGGGGTACAACCATTCGTTGAATCGTCATGTTCTATAGTTTCTCTGCTGCGGCGCTGCCCTTGTCTATAATGTGAACAGCCTTATCCTTCCATGGAAGTGACAGTGGTTCCTTCACAAAGAAACACGCAAACTGGTATCTCGCTGCCTGGGCCCACCACCTTCCTCAACTTCCTGTTGCATCTCCGTTTGGCGTTCGACTCACCTCTATGCTCAGTATGAGCTTGGGTTCCATGCATAGGACACCAGCAGCGACCCAGGATCGGGAATGCTGACCCCTGGAATATCTGTAAATGCACATCTTCACTTTGTCGGATGCACACTGACAGCCACCTCGAAAATTCTGCCAGCAGTTCGTTTGTAGGCACTATTGAAAGAAAATGTCAAATGCTTGGTGGAGATCGACATCATTAAACTGCACATCGACAAGAAGGTACCACCTCCTTAAACCTTGGACACAGCTCAGCACCGGGAAATCGTTAGGGACGTTGGAGATGAGCTTCGTGGTAAGGGTGCCGATGTAGAAGACTTGCTGGGGACATGGTAAAATTGCTTGATACCGACGAAGTTAGTGACGAGAAAGATGAGGTTTTGAACATGTGGATCCAGATGTTGCCTGGTTGGAGGATAGCCCAACATCACGCTAATAGCTAAAAGCACAGGTAGTATTCCCCGATGTGCATGTGTCCGAAACTGGATTAGTCTGCTAAAGGTTTTTCGGTCTAGTGACTTAAAACCTCAGGGTGAGTCTGAGTGTCAGGGCGATATGGTTTGCTAGGTGGAATCCGGAGCTGGGGGGATCGGGTGCTGTTGACCATCGTGCCTTCCATGCTTCTTCCATCTCTGCTCTGTGTAGGCTCTCTACATATGTGAGTGAGTGGTAACCTGGCCTGTCTGTTCTAATGTGGGCACTTTCCTTTGTTAGCTCATCTGCACGTTGCTTCCTATAGCGCCGTTCCCTTTGAGGACGATATCGCCTGCTGAGTACCCTACTACGCTGTAGCCTGTAACTCTCTGGCTGTCTTCATCTGTCTTGGACCCATCGGAGTAGATGAAGAGGAAGTCCGGGTCATCTTCGTGTTCCGTGACGAACTCCAAGTGATCATCATTCCAGGGGATGGACCTGGGATGTTCTCCAGGATGTAGACTCTCACACACTGCATCTCTGATGTCTCTGATGTAAATCTTCCGTGAAGAAATTAAGATCAATGGGGTATGTCATTTGGGGGAACTAGATACGAGTTCAGAACCAAGTGTACAGGGAATGCCTACTAGTCACTTAAATCTATTTGTTCTTGTTCACTCTCCATCACTATTGGAGCGTCCGTGGGGTCGATCTCAAGTTGGGCATAATTGATGGGAAATCTTGCCGCTACTTCAGCAGCTTGCTGCCGCAGTTCATGAATGAGATGGGGGTCCAAGGTTTTCCAGGTGGGCAGCCAGCAGGGATTTGTTGAGGGGAGGGAAAGGATTTGGTGTTTTACCTGATCTCGAAAGCTATCAATATTCGTGTCCAGTGGTGCGGCGTCAAGCCCAACATGCACAGCTTGAACATCGGCCATGACCCACATGCCACAATCATACCCATTCTGTTGTCGTTCCTCCATCTAGGGACTGTTAATGAATGTCATACTCAGGTCAAAGCAAGATAGTATACTTACAGTGACTACTTTTGTGGTCCAATTGAACCAGTTGAACCTGTGCTGACCATCAGGGTGAGTGAACAACCAGACAGCATCAATGTCAGGGACCGGTCCGGGGTTGAGAGTGTCCAGGTATATCGCCTGGTGCTGAGGGCCCGGTGGGGTATGAAGTGGGTGCGTACGGGGACGGGTCCGGCACAGGCAGGTGTCCCTGAAGTGGGAATGGTGTTAATTATCATTAGAAGGAAAACTAAGCTACTTACCTGAAGTGGGAATGGTGAGAAGAAGACTGCTTCTCTGGTTCCCACCCCAGGTATGTTTATATACATGGTGCTCAGGTCACATGAGAGTTGCCACGTTGTCCCCATGCACAGCCCCAGCCACCCGGGTATCCCCATGGGGGATCCTGAAGGGATCCGCTGCAGGCATGCATGCTGGGTGTACCCAGGGGTCATCCGGAGCATCCAGGGCTGGGTGCGTCGTGCATGGGTCGCAGGCAGGTTAGTGGTACATCGATCAGGGAAAGTCGTCCGTGTAAATAGAAATAGAAAGAATAGAGAATGAGACAGAGAAGAAATAGGAAGAGGGGGAAGTGGAGGGAGGAGGAGATAGGAAGGGGGAGAAGGGGGTAGTGGGTGGAGTGGAGCTGGGTGGAGTGGAGCCGGGTGGAGCCGGGTGGAGCCGGGTGAGGCAGGTGTGCCCTGACAATCAACCAGTTGTTGGAGTATCTGTAGAAAGGGTATCACTAACACTGGGGCATGGACTAGAATCGGGCAACACACTGTAAAAACCCAACGTGGGCCGTGGCAGTTTATATTGGAGGTTTCGGGGATGGGTTTGCTGTCAAGATAGCACAGCTCTTGCTCTTCAAAGTTCACAACACCAAGAAGCCAGTGGCAGCGCTTCCTCGAATAGCATGGGACTGTCCAACTGGTTGCTTCAAAAAGATCAGTTCGAATCTTTTTTGTTGCTTGCTAAGGAACTGGTCAGCACAGTGTTGAAGAGTGCACTCCAACATACATCCAATAGGCGAACTGCCAAATGATGTTGCATTCCCTCACACTGGGTAGGAAACATGATCACTTGGGGTCGGGTGGTACTGAGCAGGTCCTGCAGGTTTTTGTCAGTGAGGTCTTTCAGCATCTCAATGTATGCATCAATTATCGTGCCATCTATCAGCCGCTGGCAATTGGCCATTACTAGTGCATTGGGGAAGATTGTGATGTGTTTGTAGTATCTTGTCTGGCTGTCTTGTTTCACCATCTAATGGAGCATCAGTGGGATGAGTGGTGGGAGGCCAGGGGAATTCGCACTCTTCCTGATTCTTTAGGCAAATACAACTCCATTATTTCCTTCCAAATTTTCGTTGGCTTTTGTTGCTGAGAGGATTTGCTGGGTGAGCATATAGCATCAAAGATCATTGAAATTGGGGGAAGGCTCTGAGGATGAGGGTTCTGATTCCAGAACATCTCTTCGATGTTCTCATTACTGCTGGAATTATTTCCATCTCCTGATTGATTATGCCAAATAGCCATAGGAGGTGGAGCCAAATTGGCAAGAGGCTCGCTGAATGTTTCGACATTCCCCACAAGCTCAATTGCGCCATCTGGCCCTGCTTCTAGCACACCATCTACATGGCTTGGGGCCACCTCAGGGTCGAGAGCATTTCCCAGGCCACTAGCTGCATCGGTAGGCAGGTTGGGGTCAGCATGATCAGCATCTATGTCCAGCTCAGGACTCATCCTAATAAGCCCATTAAGGGCACTTAGCTCGTTTCTGGCCTCAGCATCGTCTTCAGGGTCAATGTCATTACTTTCTGAGGGTAGAGTGGCGGAAGACAGTGGGAGAAGGTGGAAGGAAGAATATTCAGTGGTACTTGGCATAGCATTGGCATCAGGACGCTCTAAGTTTGTGAGTAGATAGTGTGCTGATGCATGCCATAGATTGATGTTGGGAAATGGACCGTTTACGATTGTATCACGGCATTTGAGGGACAACCTTAAGCGTCGTTGCAATCGGTGGTTGAATAGGGCTGGGATCGAAAAAGAAGATTAGCAATACAGGTAATCAGTGGAACTTAAGTGACATATGATGGATATTGTCCATGATTCGAATCAACAAGTCCACCGATTGGACGATCCAGGCATGTGCATTAAGTTCTTCTCGGGCAAGCCTGCACTTTTCTTCCTCAATACGAGCAAGTGATAGCATTGCTGCTATCCCGTGGCAAACCTGCTGATTGACGATGAAGGCTGGTGGTTTCTCATCCAGGGACCAGTTGGAGTTCCACAGGCTCTCCCACATCTTAGTCCATCATTCATCACTGGGGTCCATATTGAGCACCTCTTTGACATTCATTTTCGCATGCACTTGAGAGTCTGGGAACCAGGATGGTCTGACGGAATGTTCAAGGCTGTTGACAAGCTCGTTATATTGTGCAACATGGGCAGAAATGGTTCGGGCGGGTCGTTTGCACTACTAAACACTGAGACCATCCTTGAGTATCCTTCAAGTACCGGATGGGCTCTTAACTACGGCATCATTCACCTCAAGCAGGAGAAGGCTTACCGACTTTTGCAACTAGCCACCCTCCACGCCGTTGGGAGCTTTGAACAGGGTTCATCTCATCCTGGTACTTGGCTAAGCGGATAAGTATAGAATGTTTGCAGAACCGGGCTAGAATATATTTCTCGATGTAGTCCCTTTCTGGGCCAGATGGATTTCGCGGAAGTTTCAGATCAGACAGACCGATTTGGGCAGTCAAATTGCGCAAGCATTTTTGGGATTCATCATGTAACTCCTGCAGATGCTGAGCAGCTTTGAAATGCTCCTTGAGATCGGTAGAACTATCAGCCATTGTTCGTATCAGGACGATACGATCCAGCTCCTTTACGGCTTCCAATGCATCCGAATGTGCCTGAGCCGACCATTCAGCTTCCAAAAGTTTTGCGAACTTTTTCATTCCAGCTTGGTCATTGTCTAGGACATAACAGCATAAGCCAACACCGAATGTGGGATTGGAAATGTGCATACAAGCCTGAACAGAGAGCTGCAAAGACTTTTGCTCTTCCCACTGGGATTGAAGAAAACGAGTCATGAATCCACTATCCTTCAAATCTTGGAGAAGTTCAGTCGAAAGTGCCTCCTCATGAAGAATGGTGGCCATTTTAGACCTTGCCAACAAAGCGAGACAGTCTCGACCATGGGATGCAATTAGCTTGATTTTGCTGTCAATAGTTGCAATCTGTTTTGCCGGCTATATTTCCGGAGCAACATTGCATCAGACCGGGCTTGTGGAGCGAACGGTATAGGGCATGTTGGGACTCACACTCATCATGCGTTCGGGCGCTATCATGTCAACCATTGAGGACCATAACCACTCATTCCCTTCCCTGTTTGACTTCCCAAACCCGTTGCATTTCCATGGGTGGAACGCGATTTGACAACAGAATTGATGGCATAAGCATGGAAGACTGAAACTGCGATGCTCAATCTGGGGGCAATTTCAGGGATAAGATTATACTTTACTCAAACATCAGAGGTTGTATCTGCAGAGTGTGCGAACTCATACCTTGGCCACGGATCGATCAAGAACACACCCAACATCATACATCAGTCCAATGGTGGCGTTTGAGGGGAGCTGGCAGCTGAGTGCGATGAGCATGGCAACTGAGAAGTGTTGCCGTTCGCCCGGAGTGTGCATGTCACATAGGAAGAGGGAATATCATGATGGCACACAGTTGCCATCAGGCCCTTTGAACAGAAGGTATCCGTTTTGGAGGCTGACTTCCCTTCATGTTTTGTGGCTCAGTGGGATTCTTTGCATTCATCAATGGCACCATCCGGTACAAGAGATGAAGGACGAGATTCCAAAGAACCTCTAGATGCAGCTCATGCCTCAGAGACATGGTGGGCAGCTTCATCTATTTCAGCCTGGGTCAGGAATGTGCAGGTGTCAGGGCATACACCCTGACCTAGCCCATACCGCATCCACACCCACACTCGCACCCGCACCCGTGACTGCACCCGGCTGTTGCACTCCCCGCGCGCGCCCTGTGCCGGATGTTCAGTGTGGCCGGATGGCCCGGACCTCGGGTCTCGGGTCTCATGTGACTTCCGGATATCTCCGGAAGTTTTTCGATGTATTCTGGCCACTGTGGGAAGATGAGAAGTTAACTTCCTTCTCATCTCTGACCCACAGTAGGCAAGTTGTATATACTTGCCTCTCTTTTATATATCATCTCTGACCCACAGTAGTTGTTGCCCTGGATAGGGCTGTTCATAGGTCAGGCTGTGGACCATAGGGGAGGGTCATGGGGACCCGGGAGTCGTCCCCTGACAGCAGGTTTCATTCCAGGGAAGAACCATCTCTCCTCCAACAAACATGTACTGCTTATGTTGCATATTACCATCCATAGCGACAATGACATCAGGATATCTGGGGAGGAAATTAGCATACCCGTTCTTGAAATAGATGTGAGGACCGACTCATTGGCAGGACTACCCCACACTGACCCCCAAAACACTGTGGGCATTTCGCGCGGAGGTATGGGCTGGCACTGTTGCCAGAGGCGTTGCGAAGTAGCTTTGTTCGCTCACAGGTCAATGATTGAGGATTCATGGAGGCTGGCATGTCAGGATCACTAGATATCATGCCATGAGGTACGATCGTTGGATTGCCATCATGAGCAGATCCATCATGGTCAGGCCTACAGATTTATGCAGTGTGTCAAGACATAGCGGTGCATCGAGCTCCGCAGGGCCTGTGGGTAGGAGAAACTCTCTTTCTGTTTCAACCTCTACAACATCCCACAGGGCCTTAAACCATGTAACTGCTTCGCTAAACGGGCCTAGAAAGAATTCCTATATGTAAGTGTGATTATGTAAATGTCAACACCACACAAATAATGAATCTTACATTGACAGGGAATCCATAACCATTCTCCTGCAATATGCCAAACAAAGCGGCATGGAAGGAGGCAATCGGAGTAGACGAGCTCACATTCAAAGCTAGGTATAGGGAAAGGATGTCAAAATGGAAGGCAACCTGAGGTATCACAGGTGATCCGGGAAAGTAGCCAGACTGGATGGTGCTAAGCGGGAGGGTATTGGAGGGACATTCGCAGTATTCAAATGTACGCTGCACGGCACCTGGAGTGAGGTCATTAAACCACTATTAGAGAAGCCAGGATACCAACGTACTTGAGGATGTGATTGTCATGAGTGAATGAAACCGGAGGTATGTGTTGCAACAAGAGCAGAGCAACGCTATCGGTGTGCACAGGCATCTGTTTTCATCAAACAACGTCTCACCAGGGGTACCAAGAGATATACGGCCCACCTTCTTCGCCTCCAATCTAAGTAGATTCCCACTGCTTTATATATCACGTTCTCGCACCAATGAAGCCAAGCTGCCTGCTTTTGTGGGTTCCGCAATGCTCTCTTGTTTCGTTTTTTGGGAGCTGATGGCAGTGGCGAAGGGGATGAAGGGTGTCTGAGCCTGGGATAGTGGCTTCTGCAACATATTCCAACCAAGAGTGGGGAGATTCTTCCCATATGAGTGACTCCATTTTTGGAGCCTGCGGTGAGGGGGGGAGTTGAGATGTTGTCGGTGCACGCCAGCATCGCACTCCCCACATGATCGTGGCGATTTGGGACCTGCCACCGATGGGTGGACTGGATTCCTGGTCCCCAGCGTTGGGTCACCACAGAGCCACCGGAGGTTGCTATCTCCACCCATCGTGATGGCTGGGGGCGGTGTTATCACGAGCTGAGGCATGGACATTGGACATTGAGAATTCAGGATAACGTGCAGGTTGGGGGTTAAGGAGATCGCCATGTTTTTTTAGGTTTATTATAATTATATGGACGATATCTTTTTACAGGTGAAGTAGAAACGGGAGCCTTTACAGGTTTGTATCTCCTCGGCATGGTGTAGTTGCTTTGGAAAACTAACGCGTTCAGGTCAAAGCAAAGAACAGGGCAGGCCCTTCAACAAGAACGTGCGGGTCGCGCTGTCAATTGATCTGTAAAGGAAATGCACGCTCAGCTGAACAGCCATGCGGATGTGGCTGCAGGACAGGACACACCAATAAGGGTGGACACCAAACGAGGTGAGCCGGAGCGATTGCTTGTCCGTGTTGCAGTGGGAAATAAAGCCAGGGCGCTGAAGCTTCAAAAGCGGTTCTTCTATGTGGGTATTGGGCACGGAGTGGTAGGCAGTGGCGGGGGTACACGTCGGGTCAGGTTCTGTCCGATTGCACCGTCTGGGATTAACCAGCACTGACCGAGGAGTTCGCGGTTACTCAGACCCAATGTGAATGTGGTCCCACTAATCCGGATTGGATAAGGGGTAGCGTGGAAAACGGGATGCAGAGGGTTGCGATAACTGCCAACAATTCCGCAGGTTGAGGCCGTTTACGCCCGTTCGATGGCAGTAGATGATACACAGAGCTTTTATTACTATTCTGGGGATGTCCCACAACAGAGAGCAAGATCTAAGTCTCTGTGCGCGAGTGAGGAGCAGGGTAGGTAGGTAGGTATGTGTATCGCGTAATGCGCCGTTCAGAGGAAATGTGGGGATGAGGCGGCTCGTACTGGTTATGCCTGTGAAGGGTGTCGTACGGGGTCGGAGTGGGAGATCGGCCTTTGCAGCGCGTTGCCTGGACGAGGGAAACGACAACGAGACGCTAGCGGTGCAAGGGTGCAGCCTCCAGCCCTCCTTAGTCGGATATCTCTACAAAAGGGCTATGAAGCTGCACGGGACGTCGAAAGCAATCACCGTTCCACACAAACGACGTATGTCCGGGAGGCTCGATTGGCTGAAGAGCGTGCTTTAACCGTGACGCACCAGCGACACACTAAGCACCTCCGGTGGTCTTCAGTTAGCTGCGACGAGGGGATTCTTCTGAAATATCTGTAGGGCGATTGAGGGCGAATGCAGGGTGTGTTGTGAGAGGTGTCGATACAGGCAGAAGGTTTGACGAGAGTGCCCTTACCAGCGAGAGGCCTGTCAAAAGCCCAACGATAACCGACAGGGACAAATGAGTGTTCGTGCGTGATGGCCTTGAGCGATGTGGAAAGGAAACGGGGTGCTGCACGGATCAGAAGCGATTTTCACAAGATGTGAACGACGGATTTTGTGCTCACCGGATATGGCCCCT